ACCAGAAGGAGCTATCAGACTCCTTGGAGTTACAGAGAGTTGTGAGCTGACTTGTGGCTGCTGGGAATTGAACCTAGATCTTCTGAAAATATAAACAATGTATTTAAACAGCTCCATGTTTGCAGTTTTAATTATGCATTGATTGCTCCCATTATTATCAAGATTCTACCCTGATAGCTTTCTTTTCTTTGGCAGAGATTTCTTTAGCAATAGAAATCCAGAGATGATGACAAAAAGTCCCTTTCCAGAGAACTAGCTCCAAAATTATCTAGTTATTACTTAAGAAAAATTAGACTCTGTGGATCCTTGGCAGTAAGAGCTCTCATAGTTTAGAATAAAATGCTCAGGAAAAAGTATTTCCTGCAAGTATTGCTTACAGCTCCAAAAACCAAAATAACCATTTTGATTAGCTAATGAACAGAAAGATAAAGTGTTTCTATGTTTTTCAAAGGCTGTTGATTATGTCACAAGGGCAGCATTTAATGTTCAACCTTTCCAATATAAATTGTGTTTGATCAGTCCAGAAAGAAGAGGTTAAGTAAATATGACTACATTAACAAGATCTCTCCTTGCTGTAGAATGTCTATGCATTTTTATAGATATACTTGTGTCAAGGACATGAGCTCTCTAAACATGGAGATAATACTGTAGAGAGCACTTAAAAACACATGATATTTTGTTCTTGGAGATCTTGTTGTTATAAAAATTCAACATCTTCCTTTCAAAGACTCTCCTGTAGCCTAGGATGCCCTTGACCTTACTATATAGCTGAAGACAGCCTGGAATTCCTAATCTTCCCTGCCATGTCTGCCTCTCACGTGCTCTCATTAAAGGTACAGTCCTCACTCAGTTAAAACGCATTTAAGACTGCAATATAATGAACACATTTATTCAAGATCTTTTCACATAGAAGGATTTTTTATTTCCAACAAAACCATTTTTGGAGTTTTGCAAGAATACTCTATCCCCTTTGGTTCACCGTTTCCATGTTGTTTTACTTTCCTTGTTGCTATGTCAAGGTATCAGGCAAAACAACTTAATGAATAAGAGAAGGGTTTGTGTGTGTGTGTGTGTGTGTGTGTGTGTGTGTGTGTGTGTGTGTGTGTGTGGTTCACAGTCCAAGGGTACAGTCCATAATGGCAGGAAGTCATTGTAGCAGGAGAGTGAGGTAGCTGGTCATGATGTGCATTAAGTCAGGGACCAGAGAGAGGGTATTTACTCTCTCTCTCTCTCTCTCTCTCTCTCTCTCTCTCTCTCTCTCTCTCTCTCTCTCTCTCTCTCTCTCTCTCTCTCTCTCTCTCTCTCTGTGTGTGTGTCTGTCTGTCTTTCTCTCCCTCCCTCCCTCTCCTCTCTTTCTATGTGTGTGTTTGTCTTTCTGTCTCTCTGTCTCTACCCCTCACCCCTTCCCTCCTCCCTCCCTCTGCCCTTTCTCCAGTACAGACCTCCGGCTCATTAAACTGAAACACCCAAAGTTAAAGCTATCCTTTCCACCTCAATTAATTTACAGTCATCCATCACCATCATTCTCAGAGTCCAGCCTACTATAGATAATCCCTCACAGTTGTGCAGAGACTTGTCTTATTCATGATTCACAATCCTGTCATGTTGACAACCAACATTAACTCCCATATGTTGTGATTATTCCATAATATTTTACTCATTAATTGGGTAGATTTTAGAAGAAATAAGATACTGTCTAATTGTCCATAAGGATGAGTATATATATTCTACAAATATACCACAGAGTCTTTATACTCAATGGATATATATACATACATACACACGATTTCTCTCTCTCTCTCTCTCTCTCTCTCTCTCTCTCACACACACACACACACACACACACACATATATATATATATATATATATATGGGATTTTTCAGATGATCTGCATTTTCTGTCTTTGGAGAATATGTGCCTCAGGAAAAGAAAGATGAAAGATATCATTTTTCTCATAGCCAGGTGGAAAATAAGTGTTTTCTTCCATGCACGCAGTGTTCTGTGTTGACAAATAATACTTACTAGAATTAATGCAATTAAAATTAGTAGCATTGCAGTCCAAGTCCTCAGGTAACTATGAAATAGACTTTGCTTTTGTGGCTTGTGCCCAAATTGTCTTTTGAAAAATAGCAATAAGGCAATAAATTAAATACTCAATAAACTGTCCATTAAGGAACTTAAACATTCTTAAAATATATTCTTTTCATATATAAATTTGGTTAAATGTTCCAAATTGTTCCTTAACATTCTAATTACCATGTATATCAGAGTGTCAAAGAGGATGTAATTGTCTTGGGGGTGGAATTTCATTTAGCTAATGTAAATATTTATAAATCTCTTTGTAACTTCCTGATAATTAAAATAATTCACCAAGGGTACTATACAAAAACTTAGAAAATATTTACATAGATTTTAAACCCAAGGATATTCCAAAACTATCAAGTAGTGAGAAATAAGTTTACCTCATAGAACTCTGTAGTTTAATTTTGTCAGGCACTTTATTTCTTAATGGATATTTCTGTAGATATTTGTACCACCACCCCCTCTGTGTGTGTGTGTGTGTGTGTGTGTGTGATCGAGATACTAGTCCATAAATTCTTTACAGTCAACATCTGAAAGGCTAACTCTAGCCTAGCATTAGCTCCAGTGGTTCATGGTGGTGGCTGTCTATTGAGTTGCTGGTATAATTTTAAATAATAATAAATGAGGTCACTTAGACATACATATTAGAATCTCGGTGAAGGTAAATCTTTGTTTAGTAAAGCACTTCATTTCATTGCCCTCAAATTCATTCCATTTTATTTATAAAATATTTCACAACACAATCTTCTATAAATATGAAGAATACAACTAAACTGGATTCTTAATTCTTCCTAGCTGTGTGTATTTGCAAAGTGTGAGCATCATGCATCATGCCTGACCTGAGTTACATGAGGCACTTTAAAGCAGTGTTCTGTCTCCTAAGAACCTTATACATACCCAACTCAACATTTTTCTTTAATTCTATGGTAAACAACATGAGATCTATAATCTAATTCTGTAAAGTGTCTTCAAAGAGAAATATGAATAGGTTCAAATAACTACCTTCTCATAAGCCACCTGAGTCATGAAGACCAGGATCGTTCAATGTAATTGATGAGTAGGTGATTGCCATGGCCACCTTACTTCTGTGGAATTTGAAAACAATACATTTATAATATAAAGGTCAGAAATGTTAGTCATTTGGACAATGTCTAGGTTGATGCAGAAGGTCAGTAGATATTAAATGTTTATGTTACACCTCTGCATCTCACGAAACGGTCTGCCCACTTTGTTCGTTGGCTCTGCACCGCATGAAGCTCTGTAGAGTTCTATCTCAATCATGCCGATGTCATGAATATGCATGTTCACATCATTCATAGTATAAATTACTATCTTTACAATCTGGTTCTGTCCCCAGACCACCTTCTTAGGCACAAATCACTTTTTTCAACCACCCCACCATGCAAGTGTATTTCTCTTTAAGAAAAATCTCATTTCTGTTTTCTTTGGTCCATGTTTATCTAGCTAATACACTCAGTTCTATCTTAGTGCTTGATAAATCATTACTCATTTTTCATTAATAAACATTGCATGATTAGAGAGGAGCAAATAATTTTAGCAGATTATCACATAAAGGTCAGAACAAAGTCGATGAGAAAGAAACAAAAATTGTAAGCAACTTGTGGGAAAGATTTGTCAGTTTAAGGGCCGGCCATAAAGTTTAAAGTATACTTGTTGGTTAGGGATGAGACCATGTGCCCCCTAGCCCCTCTCAGTACTGGGACCTTATCTAGCTAGCTTAAACCAGTGCAGACCCTATGCACAATGACACAGTCTCTGTGAGATCATGTGAGTGTCAGTCCTATTGCATCTGGAGATTGTTTCCTTGGTATTATCTCTACCTCTGGTTCTTTCAATCTTTCTGCCTCCTCTCCCACATAGTTTCCTGAGCCCCGGGGAAAGAGATTTGTTGAAAACATTCCATTTAGATGTGTTTCAAAATATTACTTTCTGTACATTGTCCAGTTATGAGTTTGTGTGCTAGTTCCATCTACTGAAGGAGGAAAGTTTTTTGACGGTGGCTGAAGGACACACTGTTCTATGGGTGTAGCAGAATGTTGTTAGAAGTCATTTATTGCTATGTTCCTTTAGCAGAGAAATAGTATTTGAATTCCTCTTAGGTTCATAGCCTATCTAGACTTGGGTTCTTGGCTGCACAAACAGTGTAAGGGATGAGTTCACTCTCATAGAGCGCACCTTAAATTCAACCAGAAACTGAATAGTTACTCCCAAAACATATGTGTCGTGTTGTATCATACAGACCGGTTGTAGATGAAAGGGCTTGTTGTTTACCATTGTGGATGAAAGGGGTTGATGTTTATGTTTTTCCTCTGGCAGCATGGAGTGTACTTTCCAGTAACATGAAAAGTAGAGGTGAAAAACATACTTGGGTACCAGCTCAACTTCTCCATGTTCAATGAGATATGCATGTTCTTTAATAATAGGGCCTTACTATCAGTTTGAGGGCAAGAACCAATAGTGTTGGAAATAGCCTGAGTTGCTTGGGATGGAAAAGTTGAGGGAGGGTGAACTATGAGTAGAATGTACTGCGTGAAGAAAGTTTATTTTCAATGAAAATTGTAAATATTAAAGAAAAATGAAATGGCGTATAGAATTTAATATCCAAACTATTTACTTTCATTTTGAATTTACCTAGTATAAACTATCATTGATTGCATGTTTCTATGTATATAAACAATATATGAGATATGTCTATTACCTTCTTTCCACTAATAGTCACATGTAAATATATTCCCTAACTATTATTTTACCTTGAAATATTTGCATAGTGCAGTGATTTGAATTATGTGGCTCCCAATAGACTCGGGCTTAGCAAGTATAACTTTGCTGTAGGAATTACATCACTTTGGGTTTAAAAGCTTCACTTTATTGCCAGTTTTCTCTGTGCTTTCTACTTGCAGTTTAAGATGTGAGCTCTGGCTGGATATGATGGTGAGCAACTTTAATCCCAGCATTTGGATTTAACTGTCAGAGGCAGTTAAATCTCTGAAATGGAGGGCGGCCTTGGTTACCTAGCAAGTTACAAGAGTGCCAATGCTACATAGAGAGATCCTGTCTCAGTTTCCTTCTTCTCCACACAAAAAGAGGTACTGTGGTTGAATATTATTTTAATATGTGTTACATTTGTTTACACTGTGCAACATTTGTTTAGTGATGCAAGGATGTGTTTCAAGAGGAGCTGGCTAGAGATAAGCCAAGCTAAGGCAGGGCATTCATAAGTAAGAATAAACCTCCCTGTGTGGATTAATTTGGAAGCTGGTTAGTGGGTACCCCAAAAGACCCAAGAGCTAAGAGTAAGATAAAAACCAATAAAAATGTACCTATTGCCACATTTTCCCACTGTGGTAGGGATGGATGCCATGTTTCTGAAACCGAAAAAACAAACAAACAAAAACAAAAAAAAAACCCACTCAACCATTTCTTCTGTAAGTTTCCTCGGTTATGGTGTTTTATCACAGCAACAGACAAGCAGCTAATACACATATTAAAATGTTTTCCTCTTCTTAATTGTTGAGAATGGGTACATCTCTTAGGAGCACCATTACCCCTTTTCAGCTTAACATACAAACACCTCTCCACTAATTCATAAATATTCTTTATTATCCTCAAGGTCATAATATAAAATAATACCATAATACAAAAATAGTAAACTTATAAGTTTTGTCTTAAATTGGAAACATATTTACAACATTTTGCTCTTCTTTTTCCTCCTTTAAATACCTTTCCAATTCCATCTTGAATCAGTGGCCTCTTTTTCCTAATTGTTATGGTTGCCTACAGTCCTTACTACACAAATACAGCCTGACCAGTCTGTTAATACTTGTATATATGTGATTTTAGGGACGACCAGTTGGTATTGAATAACGAATGGGAGTCTCATCCCTGGGGAGGACATTTCTCCCACTCACAGCATTCTTTAATTTCCTGTAGTTCGTTACATATGGGTGGGGTAAAACATGTCATACCATTAAATGTCCCACAGTATATAAATTCAAAGGGTTTTTTATGAGATCCAAAGTTTTAACTGAGCTTATGTAAAATGAAAACAACTTCCATGTAACTTCTTCCAAGAGGAAAGTACCAGGGTACAGTTACAACCAGACAAAAAACAAAATGAAACAAACAAACCAAAAAACCCCAAACAAACAAAAACTCCAAAATTCTAAATAGCCAAGTGTCTGATGCCAGAAACTACTTAGGATTCCAGACTCCAAAAAGCTTGGGTAGCTTCACCTCTCCGTCTCTGCTAAACACAGTACACACCTTTTTAGCAGACTCAGGACAGCGCCGCCACAGCTGCTGCTGTCCGTGGTGCTTACCCATCCATCCTAGCATCTTCAACACGTGATCATCTGCTGGATTCCCCTAGTATCAAGGCTCTTGGATCTCCACTGCAACTAAGGCTACACGTTTACCAAAACCATCCTCTGGGTTCCCTGCTCAGAGACCTTGATTCAGCCTCAGACACACGGATTTACCCTCAGGATGCTCAGGCTAAGTATCATTCCATGTGGACTTCAATCCTGTTGCCTCCACTATAACTAAGGCTGTACTTTCAACAATATCATTCTGGCCACTGTTCTGAGACTTCAGCCTTGTTATATATTGCCAAGCTTTAACTGCCCTCCATACCTGCTTTATTCCTTCAAAACCAGCATTGCATGGGAAACACAATTAACAAGCTCAGGTACCAGTTTGAGATGAAGCCTTCCCCCTCCCCCACCTCCTTACCTGTCTCTCTCACAGACCACAGCTCTGGTGTGTTCATCCCAAGGAAATACTTTCTAATATTGTTCTCAGTAATTCTTGTCACTTATTACTTACAGTTGAACTTTAATTCCCAGAAATCAGCAACAATCGTCTGGGTGAAACATTGGTTCACATCAATGGTCAGTGATGATGTCACAGTTGATTCTGAAACACCTGATAAGTGGAGACCTCTGTACCGTAATAAAAATTATCATGTCACTTCTCTTCAAAATTTCAAAAGCCAGTCTTGATGTATTTAAGCCTCTGTCAACATCTATATTGCCCAAGCCTCCATAACTGGCCAGTAGGTCCTGAGCACTCAACTGCCTTACATCCCGAAACTAGACATCCTTCTACAAATTCCTCCCAAATCCATACAGTTCATCACAGAAATACCTTGTTCTCCAGTTCCAATTCTTGCTTTCTGATGGAGTGATAAACACTATGGCCAAAGACAACTTGAGGAGGAAAATATTTATTTCACTTCAGTTAATTTGTATATCTCTGAGAGATGTCAAGAGAGGAACCTAAGGGGGAAAAAAACCACAGATACAGAACTCAAGCAGAGATCAGCTGCCTTTTCTTATACACGCATCTAGGACCATAGTGGTTGGGTCATCCTACAATACTTTTTAAAATTTAAATTAGAAAAATTAATTTTACATACTAATTCCAGTTCCCTCTACTTACTGTCCTCCCATGCCCCCAACCAACCCCCCATCTCACCTCATATCCAATCCCCAGGGAGGGTGAGGCCTCCCATGGGAGATCATCAAAATCTGTCACATCTTTGGGACAGGTCCAAGGCCCTCCCCTGTGTATCTAGGCTGAGAAAGTATCCCTCCATAGGGAATTGGCTCTTAAAGTCTATTCATGCACTAGGGATAAACGCTGGTTCCACTGTCAGAGGTCCCATAGACTGCCATTGCTTCCCAACTGACACTAATTTTCAGGGCACCTGGTTCGGTCCTATGCTGGTTCCCCAGCTGCCTAGCTTGGTACCATGAGCTCCCACTTGCTCAGCTCAGCTGTTTCTGTGGGTTTCCCCAGCATGGTCTTGACCCCTTTTCTCATCACTCCTTCCTTTCTATAACTGGATTCCAGGAGTTTGGCTCAGTGTTTACTTGTGGGTCTCTGCTTCTGCTTCCATCAGCTACTGGATGAAGGCTCTAGGATGGCATTTAAGGCAGTCATCAATCTCATTATAGAGGAAGGGCATTTAAGGCAGCCTCTCCACTACTGCTTAGATTCCTAGGTGGGATCATCCTTGTGGATTCCTGAACATTTTTCTAGTGCCAGATTTCTCTTTAAACATATAATGGCTCCATCTATTAAGGTATCTCTTTTCTTGGTCTCCTTCCTACACACTTTTTAATTGAGAATATGCCCTACAGATATGCTTGCAGGCTAATATAGTAAAAGTAATTTCTCATTTTTGGTTCCTTCATCCCAGGTGATTCTTGTTTGTGTCAAGTGGACAAAAGTAAATAGTACACAGGTGTATATCTCATCTTTAGTTGGTAGCTCAAACAAACAGGTGAGTGATCTAATGAATCCCGAAGTAATCTTGTTTATTGAGATAAATTATTTGTAATTTGAGTATGAAAAGTTATAAGACAAATTATTAGTCATTTTAAGTAGCTAAGCAAATAGAACAGTTGGTAGAAAGTTTGAGTTAATACAATGCCCTGAGTTTGATGACAGTTCAGTATAAACTGGGCATGGTGACATATACTTCTAAATCAAGCATTTAGGAGGTGGTGACAGGAAGATCAAAAGTTCAAGCTCATCCTTGTTTGTGGGCTGTTAGAGGTCAGCCTGGGCCCAAGACCTTGAATATTTTAGATTATTCCTAATTACCACAATTTCTAACCATTTGTAGGAATAGACCAATAAAGAACTGGAGCAAAGAAGTACAAAAGAATCATAAGGACAGGAAGTGAAAAAAATAGAGACTTCTAAGAGAGATATGATGAGTGAGTCTGACTGAGGGGGAAATGTGGAAGATGCAGAGAGAAATTCAAAGACGAAAATGCATCCTATGAGAAAGTGCATCAGGGAAGCTAATTAGAGTGAGATGAGCAGTATTGATTATACTGCTGCACGACTCCTTGGTATTCTAAAACCAAACCGCCTTATCTTCATGAGCATACCCAGAAGGTTCCCCTGTTCTTGCAATTTGGAAATATTTTTAAATGAGGTCTTAATAAATTATTCTGAACATTTTCTCATCAAGTAAAATTTGATTTTACAGTTGACTTGAGGACAAATGACTTATAATTAAAACCTAAAATGAGAAAAAATAGTTTTAGACAAGAAGAACATTGACAATATTAACAGCACTTTAATAGTCAATGACCTCATGTAAGATGAGTTATCTTAGCCATCAGATGGTAATTGGGGGGACATGATTCTCTGAATTACAACCTGTGCTTCCCTCATGCATGTTGAAAATTTTGCACTCAAAGGAAAATAGAGGAGGACAAGGTTTGTAGCTTGTGTTAATTTCCATGGTGGAACTCTCTCATCATGATCAGTTTTAAGACACAAACATGATATTGATGACATGAACTTGGGTGTGGGGGGGAATGTGTGCATAATTAATTCTGAGAGCATATAAATCATAGAAAGTCATTTCTTGATAACTGAATATGTGTCTATTGTATTAAGGAATAAATAAGAGACTTCCTGTTGGGGTAGTTCAACCACATGGAAACCCAAATTCGAGTTATCTACTTCCCTCCCTGTATCTTTGATCTGCCTACGGTCTACATCTGTAGACTGTCTATATTGCTTTTCTGTTGTGTATGTCTGATGTTAATGTCCCTGAATCCTGCCTGTTCATACCAAAGGGCTTTACTCTTTGTCCAAAGAATGACATAAAAAAGAATGGTGTGGGAAAGGGATGAAGAATGGTTACCGAAATCTTTAACAGACATTTACAAGGGAAGAACTTTCTTTACTGAACCAGCTGATCCAGACTAGCATTCAAAATGACAACTGGATGTTATCTACATGTATTCACACATTGTCAAAATTCATAGGATGTGTGTTTTGTTTATGGTAACTTTCAAACATTTCAGAAAATGTCTACCACAACATGTGTGCACACACACACACATTATTCTAGATGAAGGAAATAGAAGAACACATACTGAAGAACAAAATGATATATGTAACATATACTGTAAAAGCTGTTTAAGAGGGAAGTATAAGGCAAACTACTAAGGTTGGTTATATGGCTTCCTAAAAAGCCAGCCAAACTTAGATGGATTGCATAGTAGGATAGCATATTGGGTATATGGTTTAGATGATCTCAAGGCATATATTAACTTGG